GCTGTTATGTTGCGCTGCTGCGACGGCTGTGTGCGCTGTCGCAGCAGCGCAACATAACAGCCATGAAGCGACCATGCTCACAAGCAGCCATCCGGCAAACCCCCTTTGCAGCCGGGCACAGCGCCATTCACTGACCTGGGGGTATCGCCAAGCTGCGTGAGCACCTGTTCGCCGCCACCTGGCTCCCCCAGCTTGGTGCCTTCCGAATGCCAGTGAATGACGTTCTGCACGGCTGGAGAGGGGGATTTCATGAGCGTCTGTTCCGCTCTCACTCACCGACCTCCCAGCCTCATGATGCATGGCCCAACTCTCATCAAGGAGCCAGAGCACCTCCGCCGCCGCCATCTGAGCCTGGCTTTTTCCGCGGCTTCCAACCCGAGTCTTTTGGCAGTGGCCCCCTCTATGGTTGTACGCTCTGCAGGCAGCTGGCCCACAACCATAGAGCGTGCTGACTCATCTCATTTATCCCACAATTAACATATGAAGTAGGTATTGCTGAAAATATAACTGGTCCCTATACCTGGTGAACTTCCTTGGCCAAGGGAGGACTTGAACCTAAGCTTCATTGGTGATAATCCTTAAATAATACCTTAAATACCTTTTCTTCTTTTTATTACTAAATAAACCATTCTTTCCCAATCTGGAATTCTTCCCATATATGTTATCCTGAAATCCCAAATTGCTGAGCCCACATGGCCAAAGCAAGTTAAGGAAGATTGGGAAAAGATGGTAAGAGTCCTTGAAAATGTACCTCTGCTTTGTACATTTAAGATGCATTACTAAAGCCCAAAAGTTCTTCCCTTCTTTTATAAAACGGTACAAGAAAAAAGCAGCAAGTGATTTATTTTCCACAAATGAGATAATTAATCACTCATGTATGACAGAACAGTAGCATATTTTAAGATTTTTGTTTGCTTGTTTTCTCTTTACAATCAGGATGTGGAACAGAGAAATGGGGATATCACGTATGGACAATTTGTTCAATTGTACCAGAGCTTGATGTACAATGCACAGAAAGGAGTAAGACGCTTCTGATCTTAATTCTGATGGCATGTTTGAAAAAGAACTAATAAATGTATTAGTCCGCAGTCATTATTTTTTGTGTTTCAGCGATATTTTGTTAGAGGTGGGTACTATCATGCACATTCACTCACATTCACACACATTTTCATGTGCATATGCAAAAATCCATATATGCAAATTAATGATAGTACATTAGGAGTCCCTGAAGGGTCTGTTCAAGACCTTTGTAAACTATACAGTGGAAAATGGCTTTATTATTTCTGTGAGAAGCAGCATTGCAGTTCCTCTATTGACATTTGAAGTAGGATGCTTAAATTTAGTAAGCACAATGACTGAATTTTGTTTCTTCTATTTAGATGGCTGTTCCATTCTTAGAAAGGTAAACTGCTTTATTACCTATTGGGGCTAAGATGGAAATTAAAATGGCTTGTAACTATGAGAATATTACTGATAATTAATCATTAGTTAATTAGTCAAAGCACATAGTGCTTTGCACTCATAGTGTTCTGTTTGGTGTGGTTGTGCATTGTTATGATCTGTTTTGGAAATATTATAAAATCTCAAATTCTGGGATTAGATTTGCTTTTTCTAACAATTTGGTGCCAGCCATTACAAAATTATATCTGATAGCAAAATGCAACATTGATGCAAATTATTTTGCTTTTTTACCAATTGCAGTGATAGCAAAGTTCAGCTTTTCTTCAGTATTCTTGAAAATTCTGTGCTCCGCTTAATCAATTTTGCATTTGAAATCTGTTATTTATTGCTATCAAATGTGTTGATACTGTCCGATAGCAGTCCTATGTTCTTTGTCCCAATTTTCTCTGATAAGAGTCAGTGTAAAGGAATTAACTCTTATCAATTACTTTCACTGCCATATTAATTTTGGCATTGGCATTGTTTGACAGTAATTCATAATGTGATTTATTTTTGGCATAACTTCATGTGCAAATTCACCATTGCATCTCCATGTTATGTATGAGAGTTATATGTAAACAGTCTCTATATATATTTAAACTTTTTTCGAGAAGTGGCAGGTGCCTTCTAACCAACCTGTCTTATCTTGCACTTTATCTTAAAGCAATGGGGAGAGATCTGAATACAATAGAATTTCTGTGTCAGAGTTCCAGACGTTTTTGTTAGACTACCAAATGGTAAGTTCATATCATAAAAGGAACACACACATGGGGGAGGGGGGGGAGAGAGAGAGAGAGAGAGAAAGAAAGAAAGAAAGAGAACGAGAACTTATGCACCAATGTTGAGAAAGTGTAAGAACCAAAATTTGATGCAGATAAAAGATTTGCTTAAGCTGAAATTGATATCTGGTAATTAATGTGAATATGCCTATATTGTTTTCTTAGCAATCAC